TTTGAGATGTTCTTGTGTTCCTGCATGTTCTTGTGTGGGATGTTCTTGTGTTCCTACATGCTCCACTGTGAGATGTTCTTGTGCCCCTTCATGGTCCTGTGTGGGATCTTCTTGTGTTCCTACATGATCCTGTGTGTGTGTGAGATGTTCTTGTGCTCCTACATGCTCCTGTGTGTGTGAGATATTCTTGTGTTCCTACATGCTCCTGTGTGGGATATTCTTGTGTTCCTACATGCTTCTGTGTTCCTACTTGCTCCTGTGTGAGATTTTGAGATGTTCTTGTTTTCCTACATGCTCCTCTGTGAGATGTTCTTGTTTTCCTACATGCTCCTGTGTGGGATGTTCTTATGATCCTCCATGCTCCTGTGTGAGATGTTCCTACATCTCCTGCATGCTCCTGGGGGAAGTGTTGTGTTCCTACACGCTCCTGTGTGGGATGTTCTTGTCTTCCTACATGCTCCAGTATGATCTTCTTGTGTTCCTACATGCTCCTGTGTGTATGAGGTGTTCTTGTGTTCCTACATGCTCCTGTGTGAGATATTCTTATGATCCCACATGTGGGATGTTCTTGTGCTCTTACATGCTCTTGTGAGATATTCTTCTGCTCCTACATGCTCCTGCGTGGGGTGTTCTTGTGTTCCCACATGCTCCTGTATGGGATATTCCTGTGTTCCCCAGCAGTTGTGGGGTCCTGGGTGTCCCTGTGCCACAGGGACACTGTTCTCAGCAGTGGGTGCACACTGTGGTAGGACAAGCCAAAAACTGGGAAAACCTTCTGTGCTTTAAACATAGCTGCAGACAAAGCCCAGGCTCTAGGTCACTCAAGGTGGTGTGTCTTGTCCCCATTCTGGGGTGATGGACAGGGCTTGAGGGACAGACAGAGCTCAGGGGGACACTGAGCCCCAGGGTCCTTTGGATGTGTTGGGGAGCCTCAGGTCTGGTGCATGGGGGTTTGGTGGTCCCACTGAAATCAACTTAAACACAGGAGTACTCTTGCCCCACTGAGACCTGGTGACAATCTGTGGGCACCAAAGAGTGATGAGAGTGCTGATAAGTGCAGCCAGATACATCAGCTGTGCCCTGGGTGTCTGGGAGGAGGGAGCCAAAAGGGTTCAGTCTCATTCCCACTGTTTTAATTCCAGTGTCTTTGTGTGTGAGCTGCTCGGAAGCTGTACAAATGTTTGTTTTGCCATGTATCTCCCCATTAACAAGATTTCTCAGGAAATATGCAAAATTATCACTACAGGCAGAACATGTACAGTAAGGCTCATTAAGCTAAGTACTGTGATAAATTGCTTCTTCCAGAAAATTATGTATATTAGCAAAAAAGGAGGAGAGTGAGCCCAGGTGGAAGGGCAGGAAGACAGAGTGTGTGGGATTGTTGTGGCTCCAGGTGACCTGGGCACACC